CGATCTCGCAAACGACGCGCCGCTCTCGTCCCTCACGAAGAACTTTCCCGCCGGAGCAATCCCGTACCGCCGTACACCACCGCCGCCATTCTCAACAGAACAAATAAGCAACGAGTGAGCTGCCAGCATGTGCAGCATGGATTCGAGCATGACGGCTGTACCATCGGCGGCGGTCGGGAACCGAGAGGCGATATCGGAAGACGAGAGTCGGGCTCCGTCTCCGGCGGCGGCGATGATCTCGAATACGTCTAGTTCAACGGCGGCGTTCAGAGCCATCGGGAGCATGTAAGCACCGCAAGCGGCCATTGCCACTACAGCTGCTTCGTCTTCCTCCCCATGCTTGTAGCTATTGACCGCCTCCATTATATGTTTTTTTCTGTTTTTCCTTCTTGGGAATTAAACAAATTGATGAAGGATGGATTTGTTTCTCGAGCCGGGATTGTGATCTATTTTTATACTACATTTATAGGGGTCAAGGTGGTCCGTTAAAATATATATATATATATTGAGAAATTAAATTACGATCTCCGATCTCCGCTAAGGTGGTAATTAGATTAAATTACGGAAAAAAAAAAAAAAAAAAAAAAAAAAAAACCCTCTTGTTGGAGTAATTACATCCACCCATCAATTATGTGTTATCTTACGGAAAAAAATCCATATCTGATCGCCATCCTTTTAGTTATGATATGTGGCATCCTCGTGTTATTAAAATAAAGGAGCTGGTTTTGGTCAAGGGAATCGGGTTTGAAATGCTTTAATTAGTTATAATCGCCATCCAAAGCACGTTAATTAAATTATTTGAAAATTAAGAATACAGAATCAATTACAACTTGGGGTCGATTGTGCAAGTCGACGGAGTTGGTAAATGGGTTCACAGACGAGACCACGTGAAATTATCTAAAAGAAAATAAAACTATATATGGCAAATGTCGACTTGTATTTTTCCTCCATTATCCATCATAAGTTTTATTTATATCAAATTATTGAAATTTTGATTTCCGTTTCTTAAGACTTTCTAGTTTGTTTAAAAATTATAGTTGGAAAATATCATGTTCTTCTAAAGGCCCAATTTGAACTTAATGAACCAATTACCTTTGGCCCACGGACGTGTCATTTAGTACGGACGGCATGTTTGTTTGGTTTCACTATTTTCCGATTTTAACATAAATATTTATTTAATCAAATCCCCTTTAATATTATAATAAGTTGATTCATTATGAAATTAAAAACAACTAATTAAGCAATTCTTCCCGTGCCAAGTACGGGATAACATTGCAAAAACAAAGAAAACTTTGAATATATGATAATTAAATTGTATTTAAATAATTTTAAAATAATTAATTGTAAAATTTAAATTATCTCAAGATAAGAAAATGTTATATTAGACTGCGAAAAACAGTTAAGATAAAAAAAATTCACTTCTCTGTGTGTGTGTGTGTGAGGGAGAGAGAGTTACAAATAAATTGCAAAAGTTAGAGGGAAAAAAAAACGAAAAAGATTATGTAAGCGGATTAGGATTTTGCACAAATATGATTTGTTATAAAAGTCATATGAGAAAAAAAAAATGAAAAAATAATGATATTTTTTTTTAGATTACATTGATTATTGTTTCTTTTATCAAACTCCATCTTGGAACCTAAAAAAGATTATTTCTCCATTTTTTCTTATGTATTTTTATATTATTGTTGATATTTTCATCCGAGTCCACATTAGGGGTGGTAAACGAGCCGAGCCGACTCGTGAGCTCGACGAGCCGGCTCGTAAAAAGCTCGAACTCGGACTCGAGGTTTTCGAGCTCGAGCTCGAGCTCGCGAGCTCGAGCTTTCTGACGAGCCGAGCTCGAGCCGGATTTTAGTTGTTCATCAGCTCGCGAGCCGGCTCGCGAGCCGGATTTATTTTTATTTTTTTATTTTTTTATTTTTTTTTATTTTTTTTTATTTTTTTTTATTTTTTATATGTTATTTTTATTTAAATAATGTATAATAATATAAAATATTATAGAAATAAATACAAATATTAAAAAAATATATAATCATAATTTAGTTTTTATTTTTTATTTTTTTAAAATAATTTTTAATAATAAAATAATAATTAAAAAATATTTAAAAAAAAAAAAAAAGATTGGGCTCGAGCTCGAGCTCGACAAAATTAACGCGAGCTCGAGCTCGAGCCAAAAAAAGAAGAACTCGACGAGCTCGAGCTCGAGCTCGACAAAATAGACTCGAGCTCGAGCTCGAGCCAGCCAAAAGAGGCGAGCTCGGCTCGAGCTCGGCTCGTTCACACCCCTAGTCCACATACACACATACATATATATATATATGTAGTGTTGAAATCCGAAATATCCTGTGATTTGTCTTTTCACGCTCCCCTTTCTCCTCTTCTCTTCTCTACCTCTGTAAAACTTCTCCGTATAAAGATCTTCATCATTCTGCTCGAAATTAAACCTAGAAAATCTTCAATTCAGTAGTTTTAATCGTAGATCAGTTCAAATTGTTAACGAATCGATTCGTACGGAGACGCTTTCTGCCGCATCTCTGATTGATGATGGATCAGGAGCAGGCTCCCGAAGCCCTAAATCGATCAAACTCATTCACCGGCAGAAAGCTCAGCGCCAAGGCTCCTGAATTCGTTCCCCGCTCCTCCACTTCCGCCTCACCCGCCGCCGGCGCCACCTCCGCCTCCGCCGCCGCTGTTGCGACCGGTTTACGTGCGGCCGCCGGCTTTTGTGCCTACTATGCCACCACCTTACTACGGATATGAGAACTATTACCCCCAAAACGCGCCGCCGTTTTATGGGTACAGTGTGAATCCAGTGAGTCCCGTGGAGTTCGAGGCTGATGGCAGCAATGGCGGCACTCCGACTTCGAAGAGAAATGGCTTGCCCGATGCTCATCAGAAAATTATCAATCAGGGTGGATAAACTTAGTTATTTTTGTATTCGCAAACTATAGTTCATTATTTACGGTTTTTGGTGATTTTTAGTGCTGTTCCTTTCATTATGTGTCATTATGTGTAAATGATATAGTAGTGATGCGTTTTTTTCGCTGGCATATATTAGTTGTTTGTTCATTAATCATCTTTGTATTTGTTTGTGTCTACTTTTTCAAGTCGCTGAACTTGGGTCTTAACCGAAGCTGTTAGTTCTTTAGGGAGTATTTTGTCATTCTCGTATTTGTGACCGGAGTAAGGATGTTCATGTATGTTATGACTTGTTATCACCGAATTTTGGTCTTTGTGTTGGAGATGTCCGCTGGGAAGTAAATGCAATGACGTTGAAGGTCTGCACAATGACACACACTATATCAGTTCCAAGCTGCCGGTTCTAGGAGTAGTTGATAAATTTGTTTTGTTGATTTTAATGGTGTGGTAGTGATCAGTACTAACATACATGTGATCCATTTGAGTTATGGTATCTTCATAATATTAAGATTGAATGTTTTATCATTTCACTTTTACCTACTCTGCTGTTGATAATTTCCCGTATTGGTTGTCTGAAGTAAGTTAACATAAGCTTGTACATGTGTAAAATGTTCTATTTAGTTTAATATAAGAATGAGCAAAGCTTTAAATGCATCTTCCACAACCAGATAATGCCAAAAGAAGCTCATCATGGTTCCAGGATATGTTAGTTCATTTAGTAAGATCTCCCCTTAATTTTGTTCTCCTACCCTTGGATGCATTTCTTTCAATTTATTCCAATCGGTTGAGATGTAATCCTGTAACTTTGTCAATGGTCAGACAAAAACCCTATGGTGGGTTCTAGTCACTCACAGTAAAACATTTGGTGTTCCTTTACATTTAGACACCTTCGTGTAATCTGACAAGTCAATTCTTTTCCGGTGCCTTTTAGGTGACTTCCTAAATATTTTTGATGATTATTTTTAAGAAATTCTTTCAGTTGTTAATTTAGTATTTTTGTTTTACAGGTCGAGTTCTATTTCAGTGATATCAATTTGGCTACGACTGATCAGTTATTTAAGTTCATGAGGAAAGATCCTGAAGGATATGGTGAGGTTCTTCTTATCATTATGCTCTTCTATTAAGCTTCCACATTTAAGGCGTTAATGTCCTTGAACAAGTATCCCGTTCTACTTACTTTAGTTATAAATCATTGTGGTTGGATGATAGATGTCTGATGGTGGTTGGATGATTTTGTTTCGGCTGGCATTCGTCTACGGCTATGTTAAACGTATACTATTAGGTAGTAGTGGACAGACCTACAAATTCTTGTTCCCACATTCAAGTATTTTAGTTGGAATCTAATATTAGCTTGAACCTTATTAAGGATTTTCATATATCACTAAATTGAAGACAAGTTCTTAGTTTAGGTTGTGGACTGTGCATGATTTTTGAATTTGGTCTCATAACTATTTTGTTACATTTCGTTTTCTGTTTGTATACTCATTGAAGAATTTCACTGATTATCTATCCCATTTTCCTTTGGGCTGGAGTGAAAAGAAGAGAATGTACGATTATTCTTGCCTTAACACCAGTTATGGTTTACAAAATTCCTTTGCTGGTCAAACATAGTACAAATAGGTTAGTGATGAGTTAAACTCTGTGATTTGAAGAAAATGTAATTGTCGATAGTAAAACTGAGAAAGTAATTGTAGATAGTAAAATTGAAAATGTAAGATATGGTATTGTACTTAGGACGTCATATATTGATTCCATTCATGCAGCATTATGTTTTGGACTTTTGTGTGCAATATATTAATGTTCTGTGGGACACTCAAGGGATGTTGCTAAATTCTTTTTTCAATACCGATTCTTAACTCTTGTGTGTTTCCTTACCTTCACGTTGTGCAGTGCCACTTTCGGTGGTCGCCTCTTTCAAGAAGATCAAAACTGCCATCGCTGATAGCACAGAACTTGCTAGTATCCTAAGGAGCTCAAACAAACTGGTAATTTAACGGTTATTGGAAAATCCTCACTGGATTTTATATTATTCGATTGTTTTTGCATTAGTCTATTTGACTTCCTTGGTAGTTTTTGTCATTCTCCTTTCTGGTTAATGGTTAATTTTTGGTTTTCCAGCTAGTTAGTGAAGATGGCAAAAAGATTAAACGCCAACATCCATTGACTGAATCAGATATGGAAGAGCTGCAAGTAGGTTTAATTTATTTCCTCTGCTCTTTATCATATGAAATTCAGTCCCGTCCTACCTTTGCAATGTCGCTTTAATTTAGTAACTAAGTTCAGAAATTTTCCTTTTGCACCTATATCTCTTCCTTGATCACTGTTCATCTCCTTGTCTATAGTCGCGCATTGTCATTGCTGAAAACTTACCTGAGGATCACTCTCACCAGAACCTCATGAAAATTTTCTCATCTGTTGGGAGGTACATTATGCTTATCTTTCACATCATTGAATGCTATATATATATATATATATATATTTGTTTGTTTAGAATTAATTTGCTTTTGCTCTTCCTTCCGCATTTTTTAACGATGCTATCAGCGTGAAGTCAATTCGTACCTGTCCGCCTCAAAATTCAAATGCTGGTGCTTCATCTGCATCTAGATCAGGAAGTGGGGATGGATTGCACTTCATTGGCAAGGTATACATTTAAGTAGCTAGAGTTTACTTGCATCACAGATCTACTTAGAGCTTTAAATATGCTTCTCAACTAAATCAACTTTTTTTTTTCTTTTTTTTTTTGGTTGCAAGTAAAATTTTGTTGTTTTCTGTTAGATATCGTGGAATACTGTTATAAATTACATAGTAATGTTTTCATTTTGTCTGACGGAACAAGTTAAGATAGACAGACTCTCGTAAAGATATGGCATCTTTAGTGGAATGATGAAATGAGGTCAATGTCTCTTAAAATTGTGCATTTTTAGTTTTTATGGTTTTTTTCAAAGAGGACGAGGAGAAGTTATAGAGAAATTAGGTGATTAGAGAGTGTAAGAGAGTAGGATATAGTTCTTCCACATTTCAGTGAGTAAACGAACAGGAGTTCTGCTGTACTTGCCAACTAGAGATTTGGCTCCACAAGATTTGCATGCTACAGTTATAGAATCTATGGCTATAAATCTGGAACTGCTACAACTTGTTTCTATGTTCATTCTATGTAAAATTTTCCCTAACCTCATTTGGTATCGTCATGTAGTTTCATGCCTTTGTGGAGTTTCAATCTGTTGAAGCAGCAGAGAAAGCGGTATTATCTCTATTCTGCCTTACCCTTCATATAAACTTAATCTAACACCCCACTCGATATTTAGAATTTGTGTTAATTCTGCTAGCACTTTGTGCAGGTTGCTGAACTGAAAGACGAGGGCAATTGGAGGAGAAGTCTAAAAGTTCGCTTGCTGCTAACAAGTGCGGTAAGTCTGCATTTATTTCGACAAGCAATAACCTGAAAAAAAGAAACAATTGCTGCAAATACTATTTCCAGTTAAATGTTAGTACCGTGTAGTCTTGAATCTTGACTGTTGATTGTTTTAACAAGAAACATCTAGCTTTACTTCAACGACGATTATTCGTATATTCTTGAATTTTAGTTCCAAGAAATATCTTCCATGAAAGTGTCTAGGTTTTGTCTGTTCCTGTTTCTTTTTTTAGTTAATATTGTGACTTGTGTGTTTTTAGGCACAAGTAGTTTTGATGATCATGAACAACGGTTGATTAACTGAATAACAAAATTTAATGTATTAATATATACATTATATGCAATTTACAGTTAAAACCTAGTAATGCACAAACGAAGAAAGTTGGTCATGAAGGTCAGCTCTCGGGTAAGAAAGATGAGACGGCTGTGGCGGAGATGCAGGGCTTTGAGGAGAATCACTTGGAAGATTCATTGAAACAATGTGATGCACAAAATCATGAAATTCAGGTAACGGACATTCTTATCTAAATGAACATAAAAGTGTGCTATTATTCGAGTATGTTCCTATTCTTTAATGCACATTTTCTCATCCATCCAATTCCTATGTTCACCCTGTTCTTGATGTTTCTAGGAAGTTACATATGATTCTAAAATTAGCACCACGCTTGAACGTTCCGTTCTTTCGATGAAAATATTAAATAGGAAGATGAATATTAGACAGAATCGTACATAAAGCATTCTCACTTACTGGAGCTCCTGTAAAATGCTTTTTTCTTTTCAAATTTCAAGACTCAGATTTACGAGGTTACATTTTGACTGTACAGTTGGAGAATTATCGAAAAGGGAATGCACATAGGAAAGGACGCAACACAGGTGGCAGTAGCAAGGCCAAGGGAAAGGGACACGGGCATGGGCATGGTCGTGGACGACATCAGCATTCGGTTAACGGAGGAAACATCTTAGGATCTGCGCAGTCAGAGGTTTCTTTCAATACTGCTGAGAAGCTAAATTTAGCTAATAAAGCGTCTTCTGTTCCTCGCATGCCAGATGGCACAAAGGGATTCTCTCTGGGTCGAGGAAAACCTGTTGCTATGAAAATTGCTTGAGCACAATTTCTTGCAAGGGAGGGAGGGAGCGAGCACCAGCACACACACACACACACACGCAAGTCTCTTGGGAAACAACGTATTTGGATGTGGTGTCCACTGAGATTTTTCCAACGGGGTAAGTAGAGAGAGTCTACTACTGCTATAATCATTAATGAGTGATGATTCAATGGTGGACAAATCGAGAGAGAACTCCACGGAACTATTGTAGCATCTGTTTGCTGTTGACCTATTCAGGTTTGACAGCTTCCCTTCCCTCATTGTAGATAGCGAGCGAGCGAGCTTCTCTCGCTTGACTTGGTTTTGTTACATAATAATATTCTATATTAGATGCCAAAATCACAGGCTAGGAAATAAAAACGAAAAAACAAAGGCCAGTGAATGCTTCTATTTCGCCCTCTCCCCCGCCAACCCAAGGAAAATTACCAAGGTCCAATATTTAGACGGCCCAAAATGAACAACTTGTAACTCGTCCCAATTTTATAAAAGGCCGACCATTAACAACTAATTATTCGACCCAATTAAATAACAGGCCGACCATTTTCGGCCCAACCAAACATAAACAATTTATGATTTTGCCCAATTAAAAAAAGCCCCAACATAAGTTATTAATTACTCGGCCCAATTAATTAATACTCGGTGCAATTATAAACAGGCCCAATACAGTAGGTATGACCCGGCCGATTAATTAAATGACCCAACCCTAGAAAAACTTATGATCCGACCCAATTTATTAAAAAGATTAAACCCAAGTAGTCCTCTGGTGCTAATTTTCGGAGCAAACTTAAACAAAGAAGTGTAATGATCATGGGTCATTCCATCTGTAGCTGATATAGATTTACAATTTCAAAGTCGAGGAATGTTGGTTTTAATCTTAATGAGATTAAAAGAGCAGAACCAGATTTAATATATAAAAACCAGATACAGATTAAGGAAAAAAAGAAAATAAATTACAGAGTTATATCCAAGCAAATTTACGAGTGCATGAGCCTCTCCATCACCAATTCAACCATTCTAGAAGCATCAACCGTAACTGCAACCTTGACTGTCGGTAAATCAGACCATTCAGTAACTTCCGCAAACCTTGGTACAAAGTTAAAATTCAAAACGTGTTAGTTCACCGCAGATCACTACAAACGGCAGATATTAAGAGGACAGACTACTGTACCATACAAAATTAATCAGGCTGAAGATATGGTTCACTGGTTCAACCTAAATATTTAGGTCTCGTTTGATTGCCAATATAAGATTAGTCAATATACAACTAAATAATCTAATGAAACCCAGTTATATAACTGGACCTTCGATGATCCAATAAAAAAACATGCGTAGAAGGCAAGAGAAGCCATGATAACATAATATTTGCGGGTCGACCCAGCAAGTTATAGGGGATACCAAACATTAAACAAAGTCCAATTATTTAGTTAATCATGTCTAATCTCCGCAACCAAACGAGGCCTTAGAAGATTGCACTGCAATCATATTTTACCATACACAATGTTATATATTAGCTATAAATAGTTTTATAACATCTCTTGTTTATCCTGCAATGGCCAGTTATTTCTAAGTCATTCGCATAGAATTACACAGTTGTACCTTTTCTGCTTGTTATAGAATAATGTGAGACCCCTAGTGATGCCCACTGTCTGAACACGGACGACACCTTCTACATAGGTTATCAATGAAGGGTCGACAGCTGCAAGAACAGTTGTTGGGTCGTGAAGATAAACACCTGCATCAGATGGCAGTACAGTATTCACATCAAACAAATCTTTTATAATCTTTTTATCTATTATCTAATTTACTTGTTCATCAGACCAAACCTTTTGTGCTATAGGCATCATGATGGTAAGAATAGTACACATCTAAAATCTTGCAAATATACTGCGCAAACTTTCCACTCGATTTTGCCAGCTTCTCTCGATCGGCATCTGTAAAAAAATAAAATAAAGGCAAGAATAAATGAGAATAGGCTAATTGCAAGATTTGGAAGGCTTATTCAGTATTCACTTAATTCTAAAATGATTTCGTCCAATTATACCAGTCAGAACAACTTGATGGGTGACGTTGATTCCTATAGCTAGAACATCAGCTCCACTTGTGAATACAATATCCGCAGCATCGGGATCTCCAAAAATCTTGTCGGTATCATAACAAAAGGAAAATATTTTAAAATTAAAAATTTTTTGCACACATAAATAAAACAAGCTTGTTCGAAAACTAACATTTGCCTCAGATGCCGGATTCACATTTCCGTTGACTGAAAACGCACCACCAAGAAGGACAATTTGACCAACATTTTTAACAAAAGAAGGATCTGACTGTATAGCCTGCATTAATAGATATTTTCATAAATATTAAAGAAAGAAGCAACACATTGCTATCGATTACAAAGGAAATTCAAGAAACTAACCAGTGCAATATTTGTTAGAGGCCCTAAAGCCACCACAGTGACCTCCCCTGGGTAAAGAGCAGCTTGTTGGATAAGAAAGTCTGCGGCAGATTGATCAATTTGCTTCCCTTTGGGCGGAGGAAAATTTTGATTTCCCAGTCCATCCGTACCATGAACAAAATCAGCAATTCGTAGCTTCGTACCTTTCTATAAATGAAAAGTGATTGTACTAATCATACCAAACAAAAACTTGCTCAGTAAATCAATACAAAAGAATAAAACAAGAAAGAAAAAGAATCGTGATCAGACAAGATTTTGCCAGCATTCATTAATTTCTAATTATATGGTCATTGTTCAGTTTGGTTTCCTAGTTCGTGAGTAATTGCAGAAATGGAAACTGGAAATAAAGTAGCTTCATGATCTGGCAAGAAGTTGTGTACCCAAGCAATCATGCAGTACTTTTCTGCACATTTTAGATAATAGAGAAATGAAATTCCAACAGACTATATTGTCTATAACCTTATCCGTTAATACTAAACCGGTTAAATCCTAAATTTGGTCGGAGGAAATTCTTCTGCCCAAATGGAAAAGACAGCTAAAGAGTTCATCATATTGACCATAAAACTCTTCCTGCACTAGCGATTCATGTAAGAACTGCACGACGATAACCTAAACGTAAATAAACATTTCCAAAGCATATACTTACTGACTGATTTGAAATTGACAGTCAAAACAGAAAATCCAAAAGTCTACACTCTGTTTCTAAAATGAAGTATAAAAACGAAAAAATAGTTGCACATAGTAGAATCATGCATACAGTGATGGTCACGTGAGATCCTTCAGCCACGGGAATATCTGTCCTTCCAGCAATCTCCAACTGCAATATTAAAATAGAAGTTACGATCAAAATATCCAATGATATGAATATTCCGATTAATGTATAAAAACTGACTGATAAGAAATAGGCATCAGCTTAGTCCCACCACACCCAAAAGTGTTTGTTCAATACCGAATTCTCAGAAAACGAAGAATTTCCCATGGAACAAGAACAAGGTCATAAAATAGTCCGCATACAGTACAATAAACTTTATGTTATCCGTCGCAATAACTGTATCATCTACATCGAAATCGATCGCTAATTTCTTAATGAACAACTCCTAGGCTGCTACGCTAGTTATAGAACAAATACACAAGTGTTCCTTAGCTACAACAAATTAGATCAGGTTAACAGTGTACCCTAATCATCAAACAAAAACAGTGTACCCTACAGATCAGAAATTCAACTCAAATTTCGATCCAAAATGTGAAAAGTAAGAGAGAGAGAGAGAGAGAGATTACCAAGTGCAAAGCATTTCTGGTGGCGAGGGTAGTATAGACATTGCCGAAAATAGTAGTCAGACCAATTACTTCAACTTCCGGCGATTGCAACGCCAGAAAAATCGCCATCGCATCATCTGATCAACGGAATTTCATCTCAACATCAGTTCCAAACCAAAACAAACTGGGAATTTCTCACAAATCAATACAAGAAAGAAATTTCAAAGCAAAACAAAAATATAACTCAAATTGGCGTTTATATACCAATGCCGGGATCGGTATCGATGATGATCTTCTTGCGTTCCGCCATTGTTTTGATCTGATACTTTCTCGATTGGGGTTTTGGTAGCAACTCAATTATGTATGTATTTAAAAATTGGGCAGAGAGTACGGTCTTAATTTAAGGCTTTGTTTGGATGTTTATGTGAAATGACTTGGTTATCACTAATTTATTTTAAAAAATATTATCTCTATTAGTTTACTCTCTTAATTGCCTTGTTTTAATTGGAAAAAAAATAAATCACAGTATAATTTTGAAATAAATAAGTGCAAGGGCCTATTTGATTAATATGTTGAACTTGAGTTAAATATTTTTAGGATCGGACCATTTAGATCACATTACAAATATTTAACAAATTATTAATTTGAAAGAAAATTAAAAAAAAATCATGAAATGAACATAATCAAATATTGGCAAAATAAGTATAAAATCCTATGCAATTGTTAAATAGATTCCCAAAAAATTTTGCAAGATGAATTCTAAATATATGGTGATGGGGTCGATTTGGTAGACTTAGATCCGATCTACATAATTAAGTTTATTGATCTACATAATGAGTGACGAGAAATAGAGTGGGCCAGACTAGGGAAAAATTCATTTGTATAAGGTCCGCCAACAGACAACTCGGAAGAATGGAGATTTCCGGTAAGTTTGGGATCTCATAATAGAGCAGCAAGAAGTGTTGGGTGACGAGCTTACAAAAAAAAAGTGGAGCAAGAAGAGGTAAGTGACGAACTGATTAAAAAAAGGGTAGCAGATAGAAGGATAAAAAAGAAAGACGAACCAAAAGCTTTAGTTGCATTAAGAAATATTATAAAGAGATTTGAATTAAAATCTCAATTAAGTATAATTTAAATAAAGAAATCTAGAAGAAAATAATTCAAATTGAATGATAAAATTTAGAACTAATAATTTATAAATTATGAAAGCATAGCCAAGAATCTATCACTATGGATAATTGATAATTCCTTAATTACAATCTTAAAATAAATTAGAGCAAGCCCCCCACAAAAAGACGAATTTGCAAAAAGAGACAACAACCCTCCGCCCGTTGTCACTTTTTGAAACCAACGGTAAACTCCATTAATTTATTCATTTTCAATTCGCTGTCACAAGGAAAACCTCGTTAGAGAGAGCAGAGCAGACAACAATGGAGAAAGAGGGCAAAAGGAAGAAATTGAGGAGAGAGAAGGATGAGAGTTGCGAGAAGAGGAGTCCATTGCAGAATCTCAATGGATTTTCTAATCTGAATAGCAACAGCAAAAAAAAATCGAATCTTTCTTCTTCGTCTTCTTCAGCAGCTGCTGTTTCTGGTAAATTATTAGCTCCCAAAAATTGTTTACGTTTTTTGCTCTCTTCAAATTCATGTTCTTCATATTCGTCGTCTTCTTCTTCTTCTTCTTCTTCGACAACCCATCTCGACAAAAAATTGAAACCTTCCCCGAATCAGCGAACAATGAGCCCGAAAAGAAATTGCGATCCAGATCCAAAGAAAATGAAATACCGAAAAAACCCTTTCTGCAGAAATCCAGAACCAACCCACCTCAAACCCTCACTCATAGTAAAAACAGCGAAAATAAAGCAAACCCTATTTACAAAAATGCCCAACGATCGAAGCTTTCATCCGTTCAGAACAACCGCGTGACCAAATTGAAGAAAGGGTCCGAACAATTTAGGGCAAAGACGAATAATTCTCAAGAAAATGGTTCAATTGAGCGACCCTTTGAGCTGCTTGGAGTAGCTAACAATAGTACATTGAATTGTACTCCTGTGGGGAAATTAGCAAGCGGGCCCGGTTTACGATCTGTGATCGAAGATTCGAAAGACGAGAGAGTTAACAATAACAGTGTCGCCACTGTGAAAACACCTCCGGTCGAGGCCTCGTTATCGCCCGAAATTCAAAACCAGTCCCACTCTAAAATACTGGTTTTAAACTCGGCAGCAACTCCTGTTTGTTACGGTGCAGGCCACCTCATCTCGGGCGTCACGGACAAGAGAAAATGCAGGCGTAGAGGTAGCCTTAAAGGGGGTTCCGAAAAAGTCAACCTTTTCGAGGATGAAAAGGATTTGACCGATGATTTGTTGCGGGATCCTTCGATCCCTTTACTCGCCGAGGCTTCGGTTCGATGGCTGTTGTCTCCTTGCAATGAAGGAAGTGATTGTAAGAACAAGGCAGACGAATGTCGTATGGCGTGTGATATTGATTCGGGTGCATCACTTGATGTAATAATATCTTCGCCTTCCGGTTTATGCGGAAATGCATCCGATTTTGTGTGTTCTGAAAGTAGATATAGTGGGAGTGGCAGCATAGGTAATTTGGTCGATGAAGGGCGAAATTGGAACAAGAATAAGGATGGGTTTTTGTCAGCTAATTCGACACGATCTACTGTTTCTTTAAGTAGTCGAAATATCGTCGAGACACCAAACTCGGATTTCAGCACAGACGTCTGTAATGAAAGGTCAAGGTTAGAAAAACATCACACTGATGATTTTGTTCTGTCTGAACTCGATTCGATAAGAGAAACTCTCGACATGGTGAAGCTGTCACCCAGGAGTGAGGTGTCGATGTGGGGTCCACCAAGTTACAATGGCATTAATCGACATCAAGAAAACATGGACAGTGTTTCTTCTTGGGTATCCAATGATGCTACATTATTAGATAATTTGGAGTTATCTCGGATAAAGATATCGTGGCGGGACGATGAGCTGGCAAGTGGAACAGTCGAGACGAATACCGACGAACTTGATTTCTGTCGATGCTTGTCTGATGAAGACGAAAAGGCATACCTAGGTGGTGAGAGAAGTAACTGCATGGGAGTCGAAAATAAAGAAAATGGTCCGAGGGTAGACAACGATTTGTCTCCGATGATTCTTGATTACGAACCTCGTATTTCAGCTAGAGGGAAGGAAGAATCGGTGATGGAGAAACGGAGTGTATATGCAGAGTCTATTAGTACTGATGGGGGTGGCTTAGTTGCTTCTGATGATTCAAACTGGACTTATTGCTGCCATGAAAGCCAGGTCAAATAGTTGTTTCATTCTTCGTATTAGTATTATCTTTCGTGTCGAATTCGAATTATGTTGTAATGTTTTCGACTCTCGTCGTGCTTTTTACCCGTTGTTACAAACTTTTGAGAGTGGATTTTGGAGGATACAATGATTGAAGTAGAGTGATCTGAAGTGATTTAAGAGGATAATATGATTAATTTAAATACAAAAAAAAAAATGAAAGAATGGTTGACCAAGTCATGCAACTACTACATTATTTTGGTCTTAATGCTGTAGAACGAGTCAATTCTTTTTAGAATATATAAATTAAATTAATACATATTTAGAACATGATTAATAGGTGGACCAGATTTATATACCAAGAAAGAAGAAGATTTCTTTGAGGGGCCATGAATGATTATGAAAGTCACTCAAAGTTTCATTTTTCTTGTATGATATGGTTTATCAAGTCAAGTAAACGTTAACCACAAAAAAAAAAAATTTAAAATAATAATAATTGTTATTATTATTAAAAAAAATGACTCCCACTCCCACCAAATCCATATAAACCGAAGTCTTGAAATTATTGAATTGCCTCTCCCAACCCCAAAATCATCTACAAGAAAAAAAAAAAAAGGAATGGAAGGACTGATTCCAATAGTATACAAATCACTGAAGAAGAACAAAATTCGAAGAAAATACGAATGCCTCTCTTATGGTGCAGCAGCAACACAAACCTACAATATTGAAGATTTCTACACAAATGATGACATCATCATGCCGGAGACTGGTGGTGCTCCGGCCTCACGTGGACCCCACCACCGTCGTTACAACTCAGTCCATGTAGATTATTTGAAGGGTTATTCATCGGAGCATGATCATGCCTATAAGGCTAAGCAACTTGTGAGGTTTCGGAGCCACAGAATGTTGTCGTCATGTTTAACTGGTGCATAAAGTTCTCTGTTTCTTTTTTTGTTGGTTTTAAACATATTGTTTCTCTCTTTTCCGTTTTTATGTTAATTTGTTCAAAAAATGCTCATACCTGGCTTCGAAGAAAGCTCGGAACTCGTATATCTTGCAGAGTTGCTCCGTGTAAGCAATCTTTGCTCTATATTTCATCCCTTGCGTACTTTGAGAAGTCACGTTGAAGAACGTCATTTTCTAAACACTACTTTCGGAGTCATGATAAGTTAACAGGTTTACAATGAAGTGTCCATAAATGCATTTCGAAGAAGTCAGAAATTCGAAAACAACTATCAACTATGGTATTCACCACCATGTCTACAAGAACCTTTTATATATTTAAAAACAAAAAATAGAGCGAAGGATTCACATAAAAGAACATCAAGAACATGGTTACATATACAACGAACATGTTCTTTATTCATACGACTCAAACTCGTGATTCGTTGTGAAATTCTTACAATATCCATGCATGCGTGTATCGATCAGCAAAATAAGCAGGAAGCAGCCCTTTTGCATAAGAAATAATCGCCCAATCGGACATTCTACTGAATCGCAACCGAACACGCATATGTCAAGATAAAAAAGAAACAAAAATTATGTCTAACAGAAAAACATTAAACCTCTTTAAGATTTCCGTGCGAAGAAAACAAAACAGAATTCACACACATCGTAATCCAATTAATCATTCCCACAAAACTTGAATTAAACCAAGTAGAATAATAAGATTACTACCAAATTGGATTCGATTGTTCTTGTAATGAGTGGCTACTCAGAAGGTTTAGACCAATTCATCACCATCTTGCCCGCTTCCATTTGATGACTGGCTATTATATAAGTGACGTTTGCCCGATCGGGTTTGCTCTGTAAGGCTTTATCTGTAATCGGCTTCTTCTTCGATTGGTTCGCTAAAATCTCTTCCCGTTTAACAAAACTCGGCCAAGAGAGCGCTGCTTGCCGCTTCATCCTATGTGCCCATACAGTGCTATCTGATCTCCACTTTTGGATCTCACTAAGAGAGAATGTGCCGGTGGTGTTTTCTCCTCTGTCTTTCTCTCTCATGATTTCCTCTCTCTTCCGGAAAACGAAGAAAGGGGCCTTCGCCCCCGCCACCGCTATCCTCGGGAAATTACCGAATGACTCTCCCTTAGCCTTTGGAGAGGAAAATGCAGAGGTTAAAACGTCTTTCACGGTAGTTTTCTTTGACCAATCAGAAGGCGGCGATCGGTTGGTGGGCAGTGAAGAGAAGGCAAACGGACCGCCGCGGATGGTGGCGGTGGTGGTGGTGGATTCGAGCCTCGCCGGAAAATCCGGTTCCTCTTTGAAGCCTTTCCTTTTGTGGTGGATCCCACCTTCCCATCGCACTAGAGCGATTCGAGAAGAACGATTGGGATCGTACTCGATCCTCTCCACAATTCCCATGGCGGCGGTGCTTCGATTCAGATCTATCGTTCGCTGCAGCCGCTTCGCTCCGCCGCCTCTGTGGAAAATAGTGATCCGCCCTGAAGAATTCCTTCCGGCGGATTTCGCTGAGCTCGAAGCTAATTGCCGGAGTGCTCCTTTCCACGCCATGCTGATTTTGTTGCTTTGTCAAATGAAATCAATCACCGGAAAAAAAGACGAGATTTTTCTGTACTTGATTCTACCCTTCTAGGGTTACGTCTTCAAATTAGGAATGTATAGAACCGGCCGGATGGGGTTTATCTGGGTTTTGACCCGACCTAATCAGGTAAAATATATTCGGGTCGGGTACCCAATACCGAGTTGGTGTGGGCCTGTGGTGCGCAGATGGGCTTTTGAGTGGACTAATTAACTTTTGTAACTGACAATTACCAAAACCAATAAATAAATAAATAATAATAATAATAATAATAATAATAATAATAATAATAATAATAATAATAATAATAATAATAATAATAATAATAATAATAATAATAATAATAATAATAATAATAATAATAATAATAATAATAATAAATTGGAAGGACTCATTTCAAATTTTCAATTGTATACAAATTAACAATATTGAAGATTGAATCTAGAAGTCATGTTCTTATTTATTTTGCTTATATTATATAGATTTATATTATATAGATCAGTCTTCAATGAAGAAGATGCTTTCGTACACCCGGGATGTGAATTTCGACAAAATACTTCCTCCACTCTATTTTTGTCACATCAATTTCAAAGTAGTCTCTCTCCTCTTCCGACATCTCTTCTAGTAATTTACGGGTGTTGCCACTATGAAACCTGTCAAAAATATTTGGAACTCGAATCGATCAAACTTTGTTTATTATGTACACCTAATTATATTTCGTCGATGATCGATGATTCATTATATTTCATGTCTTAAATTATAAATTAAACCTGGCTCTGAAGAAACCTATGAATTTGTAAATCTTGCATAGCTCCTCAGCATAAGCAACTTTTGCTTTGTATTGTTTTTCAATCTTTTGAAGCGTTTTCTCGCTAAACCCAACTGCATTATTTCTTACGACAACGTCCATTTCATCCCTAACGTACTTCGAGAATTCATCAAATTCATTGAAAAACTTCATTTTCTTTATAATTGTGGAGCAAGTTAAAGGGTTTGCGCTAAAGTGTTCGTAAACATATTCGAATAATTCAGACATTCGCAAAGGATTCGCATAGTCGGCCGCCACATGGTACACATTCAATTCACCACGTGGCTTATTAATTACAATTCCATGTTTTGCAATAGCTGCGATAGTTGTATTGACCACCATGTCAGCCGGAACCTGAAAAATTCACATAACTTAATCGGCCCGTAACGAAATATAATAAACGAGGTCATAGATGTTAATGACTTACATATAACTAATTAACTTAATTAAGGAACGTGAAATTCTTACAACATCCAGATGCACGTTCGGATCAGCCAAATAAGCCGGAAGCAGCCCTTTCCCGTAAGCAATAATTACCGGATCGCACATTCTATAGTATTCATAAATCGAAAGCAATAATGCAGCCAAGTTAAAGACTACGTCGTAATATATAGAAATTATAAGGACCAAAGAAAAAAAAAATTGCTAGAAATTAAATGAGAAAAAATAAATATAAATTTAAACCTATTTCCTTGTATCCATCCAGGATAAGGCTCTTTGTAAGTACTCTCAATAATAGTTGGCCTTATTATAAGCAGTGGCACATCTTCTCTTATTTCATTCAAAATCATCTCTCCCATAGCTTTAGTCAATGTATATGTATTATTCCATCCAAGAAATTCAGCCCTGTGTAAATTAATAAAATTAAATATTATATGAATAAATTACTAAATTCCATCCAAGAAATGAGCATATATGTAAGAAAATTAAATAACCTTTCGACGCCTAGGGTTTTCAATGCTTTCGACGAATTATTAGAGTCTGCGGTGGCGGCAATGCAAGATTTCACAGACAGGTTGATTTCATTGGCTATATCTACTATATGATCTTGCTTTCTCCCGTTTTCACCCATAACCAGTGGGTTTTCGTAGATTAATCCTTCTCGTTTTCCGTTAACGTATGCTACATTTGTTAACTTGTTTATATTAATTAGCACCAAAATACTTATGTACAAGACAACATCATATATTGTTGTGTATGTTAATTATATTTTTAATTTCGCGTATTCTTACCGGTTGAGATATGCACAACAAGTTTGAGGTTCTTGCATCTTTTAGCTAGCCTCATTAGTCGTTGAGGTGCATTCACGTTTGTATCGATTAGGTAGTCGTATCTAAAATCAATTATTTTCGGAAGTGAAAAAACTAATTTCAGTTCCGTTTCAAAATAAAATAAAATAAAATAAAATTAAAATTGAAATTTTGGAAATCGTAATTTTTTAGGATCCACATATAAATTGCATAATAGTATGATATTGCGAAAAATCTAATTTTCACAAGAAAATTGAAAATTTCTGGAAATTAAAATCGGGTTGGAAACCAAAATCTCATGATCATATTTCTACTCACATTCCCGATAAAAAAATGTTCTAAAAAAATGAAATCGGAAGATTCGGAATTAGGAATGAATTTTTTTGATATCTATTTAAATTAATTAAAAAAATTAAGTAGACCTATCGTTGAAGGCTGTGCTTGCTGCAGATTGAATTATGACATCTACTTCATCCATAATAGCATGCATGGAATATGTGTCCATTCCTAGGTTTGGTTCGCAATTATTCCCGACGATCGGTATCAATTTCTCTCGTACAAATTCTTCGTATGACTTCCCATGTTTTTCTCGTATAGATTCAAATAAGTCGGACTGAATAATCTTTAAATAAAAAAAATTATTAGAGAAAAATATATATGACTATATATTAATAAGTGTAACCAAGGTTGAAATTTTAATTTAATTACCTCTTTTGACAATCTATCGAGTGCATTCTCCTTATCGTCCGCCTTCATAAGTACGTAGATTTTACCCACCGATGTCGATCGCAGTAGTTTTTCGACCAAGGCTGGGAAATATATATATATATGTCCAAAAATGATAAAATGTAACTTATATAGTTATATATAATATATTTGAATACGATAGTTCGAAAATTCAATTAATATGTACCTTTTCCAAGAAAACCAGTTGCACCAGTAATGAAAATGTTCTTTCCTTGGAAAAACTTAGTGATGCCTATCCCGCCGCCACTATTGCCGCTAGTCTCCACCGCTGACGACGGCAGTTCTACTCCGAGAGGGTCGTGAAGAGAATTCAAGTATAAACTATTGACACCCGATTTCCCAATATATTTTCGTGATCTTGTTTTTTTATTTTCATAAGTGCGAAGAGATGAATTTTTGTGGGAATATTTCGCCATATTGAATTTTGTTGTTGGATGGCTGCAAAATAAACTATGAATTTGCAACATTTTTTATTTTTATTTTTCTTCTTAAACTAATTAGCTTGGTAAGGGTTGAAATAACTCAAACAAAAACTTTTAATTTATAGTGGGGAATTCAATTTCAAACATAAACTTTTTAAGGGTTTTAATTAAAAATAAAAGCAGGTCATTAATAATTAATTAGGTGATGATAATTAATGCAAATTAAATAGGGGCTAACATGGGATAGCCGGATAGGTATAAACATATTGCCAAATTGTACTGCCAAGCTAATCTAGTGTATATGCCTAATTAATTAGCTAACACTGATTAAATACATTAGGTTCGATCTACACTTTAGGATTGAAAATTATATTAAGCCAAATCGGTCAATTCTGGAGAAAGTTCAGGTCTTTTCACATTAGCGAAGCCAAAATTTTAAGTTTGAGGAGGTTGAATGCATTATTTTTTTTATGAGAGGAGCCGTTAATGTACTGTGCACAAAAAAAATTGTACTTTTATATAAATTAATAGTGATTTAAGACATGTTGGGGGCCATAACCCCCTGGACATATGCCGGCATACAATCATAAAACGCATAATCAGCTAAAGTATGAGCAAAATAATCCACCTTCTCTCTTTACAAATTAAAAAAACGCAATTATGAAACTCGGTTATCTTTGTCAAACAATTTTAAATGTAAGTACCAAATGAAAGATGGGATGGGTCAACTCGTTGAAGCAGTTCCACTACTTACAAACACTGTTTTTCTTTTCTAATTAATCGGGAAGTTATTTCATTAATTATGTGCTTCATTTGATTTGCCAAGTGAATGTGCAATTACGTATGCAAGCAAATACAAATTAAATGTCTTTACAAATGAATTTATTATAATTTATAGTATGTTTCAAATTTCAATCCTACAAGTACAAAATATGGTTAAGACAGTACTAAAGTCTATGAAATGGTTCTTACAAATCAAAATCTATCTGTAGTATAAGGACCAAAAGTACTATAATTATTCTTACATGTGTTGTTTTAATTTACTCTATTCCCATGCAAACTGCAAAGAAATACGTTACACTATACAATTTATTTAGAATTAAATTTTTGTGCAAGTATTTCGGTCCAAAGTAATCATTATTATATGTGGGATATGTCGATCGATATATCATATTCCACTTTAATAGTACCATAAATATTGATAATTCGCTACTATATTCATTTATATTTTATATTTTTTTTGCGAGCAGCACAAAAATAAATTGAAATAATTGGATTCTTATATTACATTTTATTTCCAATCATTTCAAGAAACGAAGATAGTGTACAACAGTTACTAGCAATACAATAATAAATTTCACACCAACATACATAAAACGTACTCATGCAAGTAGCAAATATATATATATATATATATATATATATTAAATAGATGCTCTTGTCCCATTAATTATATGTTTCTTCACACCAGGGATATGAATTTCTTGAAAATATTTTCTCCAGTCTATATTCATCACATCTACTTCAAAGTTAATTCTCTCCTCTTTCGACATTTCCTTCACTAACTTTTCCGTATTTCTCGTGTCAAATCTGCATATACAAAATAAATTTTAGCTAAACCGATATATTTTATTTATATACGATTGTGGGTGTGCGTAAATAACATAAAATCGATCATATACCTTGCGTTAAAGAAACCGATGAATTCGTACATCTTGCATAGTTGTTGCGCGTACGCAACTCTGGCTCGGCATTTATTTTGGGCCTTTCGAATTACATTACCATGTTCGTCTCCCACTACATTATTTGTCTCTAGCTGTTGTGAAATTTCGCCACGCGTGTATTCGGAGAAATCGTTGAAATCACTGAAATACTCGATTCGGGAGATATTTTGAGATTCGACCAAAGGTGACGAATTGAAATACTCGTAGAGATACTCGAAAAAGTCCGTATATTTGAGGGGATTCCTATTACTAGATGCCACGTGGTACACATTCAATTGTGGCTTATTTTTATTTGCTTCCTTTGCTATAGCTGCAATCGTTGTATTTGCCACCATGTCCACTGGTATCTGAAACAAAAACCACAAATAAATTAAAAATTAATAAAAATATTATTAAAATCGACAAAGTAAACTATATTTTTGTCTTTTGATTAAATGGGCCTAGTGAGTTCGGGCCGAGATCCAAAACTTGTAAATGCAAGTCAAATTAAGGGGCCTCGTTTTCCTTTTATTTTAGGGTAAATTGCAACCACCATCTTGAGTTGCCGTTAAGTCTATTAACGAAAAAACCCTTCATCTTTTCATAATTACATCCACCTATGTAATTTATAGATTTCTTATATTGACACCCTTTTGTGAGGGTGGATGTAAGAAATTTCCAATTCAGGGTCTGGATGTAAGAAATTATTATTATTATTATTATTATTATTATTATTATTATTATTATTATTATTATTATTATTATTATTATTATTATTATTATTATTATTATTATTATTATTATTATATTTAATTTTGGTCATGAGACGTTGACCCGACCATAGTCAATCAAGAAACATAAAAAATGGGAATTCTTGATACTCACAATATCCATAGTCACTTCAGGATTTCCGAAGAAGGCTGGAAGTTGTCCTTTTCCATAAGAAATTATCACGGGATCAAACATCCTGTCATAAATTAATAATTAAAAATTAGCTAGATAAAAAGTTAAATGATTTTTTCCCAAAAAAGAAGTTTTTTTTTTAATAGAAAAAAAAAAGTATGAAAACGACGTCGTTTATTACCTATTGCCTTGTATCCATCCAGGGACAGGTTCTTTAAAGCTACTCTCGATAACAGTTGGCCTGATTATAAGCACAGGCACATCTCCTCTTATTTCATTCAACACCATCTCTCCCATTGCCTTTGTCAAGTGATATGTATTGTACCATCCAAACAACTCTGCCCTGTAATTACAATAAAGTCCCTAGCGGAATCAGAATCTTAAGTACGCGGGGCCCAAACGCATTAAATCGTCATTCATAAAGGGGGCCGACAATTATTAAATCTCATTTGAAAAATAGAGATTCCACAATTGTTGGGGCGGGGGGCAATGGCCCCCTTTGGCCCCTATACTGGATCCGCCACTGGATAAAATATTAATGAAAAAAATTAAATAAATATATGCATACCTTTCTAGGCCAAGCTTTTTCAAGTCTTTTGTGACGTCATAATCCGATGCGGCAGCGCTACAAGATTTAAGAGCCAAGTTTATCTCATCAGCTATATCTAGACGAGGAATATTCGCATCACAATCCTCCTTTCTTCTGTTGTCTCCCATAATCAGCGGATCTTCCAGCATTACCCCTTCTCTTCTTCCGTTAACATATGCTACACGTACACGATTAAAACCCCATTTAAACTACAACGTTTTAATTTAATTTTTATGTATATACATATATATATACATAATTGTATTTAAAAATATAGATATATTAATTACCAGTTGAAATTTGGGCAAAGAGTTTGAGGTTTTTGCATGTCTTGGCAAATCTCATCACTCTTTGAGGCGCGGTCACGTTTGCCTCAATTAACACGTCATATCTGGAAATAGTACTATGTATACTTAGTATATATATTTGAGGAAATAATAAAATAATTAGGTAACTAATTAATTAATTAACCTCTCGTTTAAGGTTGTGCTAGCAGCAGATTGGATAACAACGTGTACATCTTTCCTGAGTGCGTCAGCAGAATCGGAATCCAATCCCATGTTTGGTTCGCATATATCTCCGACGACGGGTATCAGTTTTTCTCTTACAAAGGCTTCGTAAGATTCCCCGTGTTCGTCTTTCAGACATTTGAACAAATCCGAATCTATAATCTGATTTAAAAAAAAAAAGAATATTAAATATATATTCTCACACAAACTTAGGAAAAGTTTATTAATTATTAATTATGGCAAATTACGGCCACCCTCTAAGGTATAAACAAATTACGAAAAAGTCCTTATTGTTTGAGTAATTACTAATTTGCCATAATTATTATTATTGTTGAAAATTAAACCACACACCTCATTTGTTAATCTGTGAAAAGCAGCATCCTTGTCTTTTGCCTTGATCAGTAAATAGATCTTCCCAACTGGGGTTGATCTTAGTATCTTCTCCACAATCACTACAATGCAAAAATAAAAAAGTTATTATTACATGCATGTCAGAACTTAAATGCAAACGTAATTATGCATGGGAGTATATATATATAATATTTAATTAATTATTATAATTACCTTTTCCAAGGAGGCCAGTTGCACCAGTAATAAGTATGTTCTTCCCTTGGAAAAAATCAACTATCCCAATGCCGTCCGTGCTGACGTCATCGTCATCGTCGTCGTCACCGTTAAAATGATTGGGCAAATCGAGCTGGAGAGGGTGACACGGTGAAGTGAAATACGAATACCCGTTGTAAAGAACACCAGTTTTCCCTATTTTTTTTCTCGACGACAACGACAACTTATTTTCACGCAAATTATTACCGGAAAATAATGCGATATTTTTGGTTTCATTGTAATGTTTTTTCAGAGAAAAATTGATTGGAGGGCTGAACAGTGAGCTTTGAGTCATCAACATTATTGATTTTCTTTTTTATTTTCTTTTTAATTATAAATATATATATATAAATATGCCTTTGAAAAACCTTGGCTGTACGATTTTGGTAATGGAATTGTTGTATTCTATTTATAGAGAGAGGAAAGAGAAGGAGAGTACAATGTTTGTGGTGGGGTATGCATGCATGGGAATGGGTTGCCATGCATGAAATTATTTTATTTTAGACTTTTTAGTGAATAGGCTAAAAACATTTATATATTTATTATTATTTGTCGTGGGGTTGAAATTTGAATTGATGTCTGAAAATTACTACACCATATTTTGTTTTTTTTAATGATATTGATAAGTACCTCGCATTATTTAGTTGATCAATATTGTTTACTAACGACTTTTTATTTATTTATATTATATTATAGTTGACTATTTAATCAATTTATATATATTATTGTTTAGGTCTTGTTAAAACAAATCGGCGTCAAAACATGAAAGAAGAAGAAATGAAGAACGCGAACGAAGACCGAAACATGGAGGAAATAATCTAGAGACGGCGGGCAAGGTCGAGAAATTTTAGGTCTCGTTTGGTTGAGGATTTAATTAAGTATAATTAATTAAATAATAGGACTTTTGAAGTTATTTAAGTTTATTTCTAGTAATTTTGCGATATTCAAATTTTACTAATGGTCAAATATGGCTTATGAGTTCTTACGTCTGATGAAATACACAATGTGGTTTTAAAACCGTGAATCTACACTACATAAATAACTGCTTGTTAGACACACATACACACGGGTGTGTACGAATTATTATATGTAGACAAAACCGTCTAATACCACAATAAATTAAAATTATACACACACGGTTAGTAATGTGTTCTTTTTAAGACGACTATATACCTGGTGGACTCTTACTCAAAAAAATATATATATATATATATACCTGGTCGACTCATTCAATTTCATTGAAAAGTTCATGAATCGAAATACAATATTTATTTTTTTTAAGTCAAAAATATCATAAATATGATAAGGAGGATATTTTCTCATCCCACAAACTACTGATAACATGAACCAAATCCGAAGAAATGCGCACACAAAAACGATTAATCTTACCCTGTATGTCACCATTTTCGGTTGATTCTGATCTCTCTCTTTCTCCCTCTCTCTCTCTCTCTCTCACTCTCTCTCAGGCTGGGGCTGCGTATAACGGCAGAACATAAGCATTTGTAATTAGAAAAACAACCCTAATATTA